GTTGGCTGTGGAGGAAACTGGGGAAGGGCAAAGTCCGGCTGGGCAGAGCAGGGAAGAGGTAGAACAAGGGAGAGGGAATTCAGAGGAAGACCCAGGCCCACCCCCTCTTCATCCTAAGGCACACAGGGAGGAATGGAGAAGAGAGCAACATAGGTTGGGTGGCTTGGGGGGGTGGGGGAAGGAAAGGGCCCTGATTCCCTTCATTAGGCACACCTGGGAAGGAAAGTTTAAAAGAGATGCATGTTGAGTGTTGTCTTTGCTTATCTGAGTTCCTGGCATCCTCCCAACCATGGTGGGGAGGGGTGGGGAGAGCCCAGCCCAGGCCATCCCTATCCTTCCCCCAGTAAAGGCGGGGAATTGGGAGGGGGGGGGAGTCCGGTTTTCACCACCCCCAGGGCAGCTGTGCCACCTGTGGGCTTGAACCCCACAGAACTCCCGAGCCAGCATAGCTCGCCCACCCAGCTCGTCCCCTGTGCCCGGGGCAAGGAAGCCGGATTGCCCCCTCCCCATTTCACCAGCCAGGCCCTCAAAGCTTCCCCCCTCCCCCCAGTGAAAGTGTCCCATCCACGCCAGCTGCTCGCAAGGGGGGAATCGGTGCCTCCTCGGGTGCTTCACCCGCCGCGAAGCGCCTCTTGGGGGCTCCCGCTGCCCATCGCCCCGTCGGAGGCGCCCACAGCGGCGCTGCAGACAGGCCTGCTCGGCTCCGGGCTGGCAGGGAGGCGGCGGAGTTCGAGGCTGCGGCCAAGCGCCTTCCTGCAAGGAGAGTCCCGGGAGCCACCCCGGTCCCTGCGCTTCGTCCTTCGGTTGAAGCGCCCGCCAGGCTTGAGGAAGCGCCGCTCCGGACTCGGGCCGCAGCAGGGATGGCCGGCAGCGGGGAAAAGGGCCCCGCGGGGCTCCGTTGCCTGCCGGTCCCGGCCGAGACGCGCAGCTCCTGCCCGCCTCCCCGGCGCCGCTGCCGGGCTCGAAGCTCTGGCCCGCTCCGTGCTTGGGCGGCCAAACGTTACTGGTTGCAATGGGGGGGGGGTTTGCTCTTTCTCCCGCCGACCGAGCCTCGCTTACCCGGCTCCCCTCTCGGCTGGGCGGGCAAGGGACGGGGGCCGCCCCGCCTCCCTCCAAAGGCGACCCCGAGCGGGGAGCGGGGGAGCTCCGGGACCCCCTTTTTATCTCCCCCGAGCTTTGCCGTCTTGCTTCCCGAGGGGAGGGCTCTGGCGCGGGCCCAGGCCCGGCTTCCCTTCTCTGGCTCAGGTGACGAGTTTGCCCTTCCCGACGCGGCTCCCACGGAAGAAGAAGAAAAGCCCTTTTAGTGTACACACACACACACACACCCCTACCTCTCTCTCTCTGGTGGCTGGAAGCACCAGCAAGTACCCCAAAGGCACCACTGATGCTGGGTGTGTCAAGCCAGGGAGGGTTTGGGGGAAGGCAGGCTGCACTCCCACCGCCCCTTCGCTTGGACCGATGCCCAGAGAGATTGGCATCCCACAAACTTAATAAATAAGTAGGAGGCCTCCCTGGCCAAATTCCCCAACTCTATGCAGGCTCCTTTGCCTCCACCTCTGGCCCCCACAGCCTTGCTCTCTGCCTCCTCCCTGTAGTGCCTCCGATGCTGATGCTGCCCTTCCGGTTCGTTCACCGGCTTCTGCCCATCGCCTGGCAAGGTGGACACCAGGTGCTCCTTCGCGCGAATCCTCATCCCTCTCGGGAAATGGGCTGTCTGGAACCAGCAGGAACGTGGAGGCAGCTAGCAAGGCCCTTCCTTCCCCTGGGAAGCCACACGTGGGCCCCGGTTTATTTATTATGCATTTCTTTTATTGATAGTCCGCCTTCCTTAAACTTTTAGAAATAGCTCACGGTGGAGAATATTCCTCTTATTTTCTCCACAACAACCCTGTGAGGAAGGCTGGGCTGAGAGTCACTGGCCGGAGGTCACCCAGCCGGCTTTGATGCCTGAAGCTGGACTATGATTAGCCCAAAGTCCCCTAGCTGGTTTCCTTGCCTGAGGCAGGACTTGAACTCACAGCTCCTGGTGACTAGCCTGGTGCTTTAACCACCAGACCAAACATGCCAGGGATGCTTCCTTCTGCTCCCCTCTCTGCCTCCTTCACCTGGCAAGGGATGATCCCATCTTCCTTCCTTGATCCTTCCCAGTCAAAGGCTCCGCCTTGCTCTGCATTTATGGCTTGTTCCCACCCAGCATCTTTAAAATCTCCCTTTCCAACCAGGATCTTTTCAGACGTGGCCATTTTTGCTCTTTTCCTAATTACCCACCGTTGAAAGAGGCCGCAGGCTTATCAAAATACAAGGAATGGGAGGGAAAGGATGTCCTTTCCTATTGATTAAATTGTAAATTCTGTATTTATACGGTATATATTTACATATTTATATATACATAGCATCTGCCACCCAGGAGCAGGCCAGAAGCCTCTCAGCACAAACTTCTGTCTGCTATTTCTCGATTCCTCAAATCTTCTTTCCTCTCAGCCTGACCCTTGCAGGCCCTGGCGGCTCGCTCAGATGCCAAGCCTGCCACGGGGGCTTTGGCTGCTCCCGGCTGAATTGGGCTTTGCCCGGCCTGCAGAAGCCGGTTCTCAGGGCGCGCTGGCGTGCATCTTCTCCAGGCAGCCCGTCCAGAAGGAGGCGAGCCGACCGTCCTTGTTGCAGCAGAAGTCCGTGAAGTCTTTCAGCAGCCGGTCGGCAAACTTCTCGTCGCCCGTGGCGCTGGACCGCCAGGTCTTGGTCAGCATGGTGTTGTAGGCCCAGTTGTAGCCAATGCGCTCCTCGCAGAAGACGTTCTGGTTGGCGGAGCTGGTGGAGTTGCGTCGGCGGCGCTGCTGCCCGGAGAACTTCCGCTTGGAGTACGGCAGCTGGAGGAAGACCGTGCCTGAGTGGGGAGAGGAAGGCTTTCAGGGGACGGGAGCTTCCTGCGTGGGACGCGTCTGCTGGGCTGACCTCAACCGGAGGGGGGGGGCGGCGGGGCTTCTTCTAGGACAGGGGTGGGGAACCTCAGGCTGTTTATGTGGACTTCCGACTCCCAGAATCCCTGACCCGGCATGAAGTCGTAAAAGGGCCAAGGTTCCCCACCCCTGTCCTAGGAGGTGGGCTGCTACTGTGAAACTGGACTTGACAAGCGTTCTCTGGTTTTACACACAGCTGCGTTGCTGGGACCCAAGAGCTCTTCCGGAGCAAAGCAGAGTTCTGAAGGGGAATGATGCTGTGGGTCCCATCCCCGAGGGAGATACCCCTGGTGGGACCCGGAAGGAGGAGGGCCTTCACCGTGGTGGCTGTTAGGAATGAGTCACCTAACAGTTGGGTTGGAAATATATAAACCAGGATAGTAATTTAATACTGTATCTTTAAGAGAATGCTCTAAGTGTGATTGGCTGAGGTTCCTCCAACGGCCATAAGATGGAGCCAGAAACCTGGTTTCTTTCTTCTTGCGTTTCCTGTTTTGCCCTATTTGCCTGATCGCTGTTCTGCTTGGATTGCTGTGAGTTTTTGCAACTGTTAGCAAACTCCGTTTACTGAACTCCCTTTATGATACTTGACTTCATTTTTGGATTATCCCTGGACTGATACTAACTGCTTTGACCGTGTATGATTTGGATTGTTTGTTGGACTTTGTTTACCCGTTTACTGGAAGTAAAACCTACATTTTACTATTCAGTGCATCTGTATGCTGGTTGTGTGTTATTCAACATCACTCTCACTACGTTTCCCTGAGTGCACTCATTCTAACGGGGAGTACCTCAACAGTGGCCCCCTCTCTCTGGAACATCATCCCCCCGGAGATTAGAACGGTCCCCCCTCTTAACGTTCTTCTGGAAATCCCTGGAGACCTGGTTCTGCCAGCGGGCCTGGGGAACCCAGAGAGATGCTGTCATTGGGGTGGGGAGTGATTTTAGTATATTAATTTATTATATGACTTTTCTTTTATTAGTTGTTTTTATATGAGGTTTTTATATTCTGTAAGCAGCCTTGACAATATAAATTCCATAAACAAACAAACAAACAAACAAACAAACTGGCAGGGTGGGAAGGGGCAAGAAGCATCGCAGCAGCTGGCCGGCCTTCGGTCTAGCAGTGGCCATCAACCAGCCAGAGGCCATCAGGGCACCGAAAGCAGAAGAAGGAAGCCATGGCAAGCAGCTTTCTTCCTCCTGTGCCCAGCAGCAGCAGCAGCAGCAGGAGGGCAGAGGTACGTGGGCACCCAGGAGGGAGGCTCCTCTTGCTTCCTTGCTGTCTGGTGGGGTCCTGGAACTGCCAGAGACCAGGGCTGCAGCCCCCACCCCCTTTGGATGGGTCGCCCACTTGCCCAGAAGCCGGTGCAGGGCCTGCCAGCTCCACTCCCGAAGGGAAACCGAGCTCACCTGTAACGTGGATATACTGGGGCTTGTTCTCTGCAGGGAAGTTGAAGGCAGAGGCTGAGTATTTATCCTGTACGAATCCAAACCTGGTGGGAAGAAAGCACAGCTCTTGTTGAGCACGCACGGAGAGGCACGTCATGTCCCACAGGAGCCTGGCCTGCCAGGAGCTTCATGGCCCCCCTGAAATGTGCCCATCCAACACCGTGGCCCTTCTTTGGATTAGGAGCAGAGGGAGGAAAAGTAAAGCAAGAGCTCAGCCTCGCAGAGGAGGCACTGCACGCTTCCTAGCTTCCTTCCGGCACCCACTGCACCCCCCACCTCCTTGCCAGCAGCACCCACCCCGCTCACCTGTGTGCGATGGCCTCCTGCAGAAGGTGCATCCGGTCCCAATAGGTTTCTGGCTCAAAGCCTGCAAAGAGAAGCAGGAGGAGACCTTGGCAGCTGGGAAATGCTCCTGTGTCGCCTGGGTTTGGTCCCAAGACAGCCCTGACCTTCTCTCCCCAAATCTCCAGGGGATTCGGCCTCTCCCATCCCAGTGTAGTTTGGAGGGTCAAGCAACGCTTAGTAGACAAGGCCCTTCCCTGCCCGGACTCTGCTCTGGAACCGCCGGCTCTGGACTAGCGGAGGAGTGGCTGGGCCTCGTGGCTCTCTTCCCTCTCCTTCTCTGGACCCCACTCTCCTGCCTCTCTTTGCCAGACCTCCTCCTCCTCCTAAGAGGACCCATCCAAGTCTTTTTGGGGGTTCAGGTAGAGAAAGAGCGCACCTTCCCAATTACGAAGGCGGGAACTGCTGATTGGCCAGGGGTCTGATGGGGCATTCCTCCTTGGGGACGGTTAGTGGACTAGGACGAAGATCCTGTTGTATTCTTGTTTTAACTTAATTGAACCTTTCATGTTTTTACCTCTGCTTTTATGATATTGTAATGGTAACTTGGTAGCGAGATAGGCAGCATATCAATTGAATAACAAACAGAGTGGCCACTGGGATAAGAGAATAAGAGGCCCTTGTGTCGGGTCCCTGTGGGAAGGCTGCCACTTCTGGAAGGCATCAGGCATAGTTTACATGCTTTCGCTTTTGCTGTAACTGCTCGGGAGCTGGAGGGGTGGGCGGGAGGTTCACACTATCTCCATCAACTCCTCTCGACCGGTTCCCACACAGAGTGTTCAAGGCCGCATTGCCCCGAGGATGGTATCTTTCCACCATGCGTCCTCGGCCAAAACACCTTTGCGGCGGATGATTGGCTAGAGAGAGGGCGCTGGGGTGGAAGGGGACAATTAGCTCTACGCTTGGGGCCTGGATTTCAGACTCCGCCTGACTTTCCTGCAACCCCCTCCCCCCTCTCTCCCAGTCAAAGTCTCTTTTTGGAGTGTGCCTGGTTTCAAGAGTTTTGCTTCCTTGGGAGAGGCGCTGGGGCAGATCCTCACCCCTGGCATGACCTACAAGCTGGTGGAAAGCAACCCATCGCCCCCTCCCTCCCTCCTCACCATCAAAGAGGTGCTCACTGCCCTCTTTCAGCAGACAGCTGGTGCTGAGCGGGATGAAAAGCTGGGCTCGAAGGGGGTCTCCGTACAAGTAACTGGGCGGCGCAAATGGCCCCTCCAGGACGGGGACCAGCAGGAACCCACAGGAAGTGGCTTTGCGATGCCAACCTTGGACCTGTGGAGACAGCAGAGGGGGACGGGAGCCTTTAGTGGGGCCGGGTTCAACCGAGGGCCAGGCACGGCCTTGGAGACCAGCAGGCCTGGTCTGACGCCCCAGGGGTGCCCGTCTGCCGGAGCTCACCATCTCAAAGAGAACAGCCGCCGTCACCGCCATCCAGTGCAACTTGACCTCGAAGGCAGCATTGAGGGAGAAGTTGCCATGGTAGTAACAGCTGCACCACTCCAGCCGGTCCGTGCGGTTGTTTATGTCCACATCCAGGGTCACCGTCCGCTGTTCTGGCACTGTGGCAGCTGCCCGGGGAGGAGCCCAAGGGAAGGAATGGAGGAAGGAAGGAAGAACAAATTGGAGATATGAGCCATTTGGCAACTTTCTGGCTCCCCTGGGTTACTGCAAGCAGCCGAGGGAGCAGGAGCAACCCTTACGCCAGGAGTTTCATGCTGGCTGCTCCAGAGACTCTGCGGTCCTGTTTCTTTGGGTGCCCCCTGAGGCACCTCAACCCGGGTAGAATAAGGAAATGAGCATTCCATTGGGGCATTGATTACCTGTCTTGACTAAAAGGGTATTTGAATTATTTTTACAAGTAGTCCATACTTACCGATTTAGCTCTCAGATGATTTTGGAACAGCAAAGCCCGTCATGGTCGAAAGCAGGAAATCTCCAACTTTGGCAACTTTAAGACGTATGGAGTTCAACTCCCAGAACTCAGAATTCTGGGAGTTGAAGTCCACAAGTCTTTAAGGTTGCCAAGGCTGGCGATCCCTGGCTTAAAGGGCCTAATAGGGGAGTCAATGCAACATTTCCAGATCACCCTCCTCCTCCTCCTCCCCTCTTCCTGGCCAGCTCCCACCTAGCTTGGAGGAACAGGAACCCCGCATCTGGGACCGCTTGAAACCCCCAGCCACCCTCTACACCCCAGTTACCCAGTAACGCTGCCGCCTGGCTCCGCCCTCCAAAGCTGCGGCTGAAGGAGCTGTGCCTGCTGGCGTAGGAGGCCGGGCGGCTGGGCAGCCACGGCAGGAGGAAGGCCGGGATGTCAGAATGAAGGAGCTCCTCTGCCACAAAAGCCACCTCAAACCACTTCCGCTGGAAGGCGGAGAACTCGTCTTTGGCTGCTGTGTGCCACAGGGCCGGCTGCTGAATGCCCCCTGCGAAAGAAGAGGGGAAGAGAAGCTCCGTGCGGGCGGCCGACGCTACCCGGGGCCCGGGGAAGGTTCCCCTGCCCGGCCCACAGGAGATGGGGAGGACCCCTCTCCCTGCTCAGGAGTCGGCCTCGGCGACCGTCCCCAGCAGAGGGAATCGGGGGAAGTCACGTGGGCGGACACGTGGCCGCTTCTTGCCCCTTGGGCAGAGGCAGTGGTGGGACTCAGCCGGTGTAACAACCGATTTGGGGAGCGGGCGAAGCATTTGAACACCGCCTAAAGCTCTCACTTCTACCACAGCCCTGCTGAGCAGAGCAGCTGATCTGCTGTGCCACGCGACTCAGGCGAGCGGCAAAACATGGAAATATAGGACAGACTGCGGTGGCGGGGGATGGTGGTGGTCAGGGCCAGAGCTACCGGTTTGCCCGAACTGGGGCCAACCAGGAGCAGCCCACCCCTGGGCAGGGGCTGTGTGTGTGTCTCTCGAGGTGAGAGCCGTCTGTCCCCCTCCCCAATCCAGGAGCTCCTGGGGCTCCTTCAGAGCAGAGGAGGGCGAGGGCAGGAGGAGGGGCCGTGATCAATGCAACGCGTGGCTTTTCATCTCCGAAACGCAGTTGGATACAAGGAAAGAGTTTTCATTCCTTTCCCTCAGCCCGACACAAAAGAGGCCCGTGGAAAAGGAATGAAAAACTCGCCTTCCAAGGAGCTAGCCAGCCAAGGGTGGAGGCTGCCAAGGGGACACAGGGTGGCCCCCAAACCGCCCGGAACCTGACCTCGCTCTTGCTCCTTGTCGTCCACAATCTTGTAGAAATAAAACCCATAAATGAAGGTGCGAAGGGCCTCTCCGGAAGCGTGGGTTATCAGCTGCTCCTCCAGCATTTTCTAGAGCGTGTCGGAGGGAGAGAAGGTGAAAGGAAGATCCGCTTCAGCCGGTAGCCATGCAGGCAAAGGGGGGGGGGGGGGAATCCTGGTCCACAGCCAGGAGTTCTGCCGCCTTCAGAAACAGCTCATCTCAGTTTAGACCAGGGGTGTCCAACCTTGGCAACTTGAAGACTTGTGGACTTCAACTCCCAGAATTCCTCAGCCAGCTTTGCTGGCTGAGGAATTCTGGGAGTTGAAGTCCACAAGTCTTAAA